ATAGACCCAGGCAGTTCTGATTAAAAATGAATGATGACTCAATAGGGCACTGATAAGGCCCTATTGAGCCTTAGGGACTGACTGACAATGCAATGAGTCTTCTCTCTCCTAATTCTTCAAATGAAGTACTCTTATTGCTATCTTTGAAAGTAGTTAGCACATGAAATGTTTAAAACATTAAGGGCTAATTACTGGGGTATGGTAGATAACAGTAAAACAATCAATTTGTCATGGGCATGTGTGGTGGCTCAGAAATCTTTTTTCCAAATTAAATACATGAGTCTCAGTCCATTCCTGCATAGTCATGGACTATTGACCAAAGGAAAGCTGTACGTTAGAATAGTGTTTGAGTTCCATTGCTCTTCACATGCTCCTCAACATTCTCTTGGAGAAGTTTCTACAGGATCCCTGATACCTGTGCATCAGCTCCATCTTCTTTTCAAATCTGCTTCTTCCTGACAGGTACTTATAGCCCTCTAGGCTTCTAGAATTCTCTCCTAGGGCAACTGAGAACCTCATGGACTTGGCATTCTAAGCTACTTTGGGACTGCTGTGACTGGTACAAAGGTTCTCAAGACTGAACTCCTGGACACTCTCTTCATGGCTTAATCTCTTTACCTAGACACCAGTGCCTCTACCACTACCTGGCTTCCTCAAAGAGCAGGGGTCTGTAAGGATGTGAAAGGTTTCTCTTGCTCTTACTCTTTCTCTAGTTCCCACTCCAGGCACAGTCCATTTCCCACTTAGCTCTTTGAAGACTTGGTCATGGATCAAGCTGTCCTTGATTTTCTTGCTGAAATAGAATCCCATATAGCCCAGAGGTTATACGGAGCACACAGAGCACTATTTTCTCACCTGGGCTTGTTTTCAGGTTCTGGATGCTTCCAGCTCCTGTCTCTTCCTCAACATCAAGGGAAAAATGCCTGATAGGTTATTGTTTGTCTTTGTATAAATGAATCAGAGCTGGAGATCAAATCTGGGGATTCATACATTCTAGGCAAGAAAGTTCAATTAACCACCAGAAAACTGGAAGTGGTGCTGTGGTTCAAGTGGTAGAGCACTTGCCTTGAGCTGATGAGCTCAGGGATAGCACCCAGGCCCAGATCAAGCCCCATGACCAACCAAAAACAAAAACAAAAAATTATTCCTTTCCAAACCAGAGGACTGACATGAAACCTGCAACAGGAATACTTCATTAAAGATAAAGAAAAGGGTTGGGAATGTGGTAGAGTGCTTGCCTAGCATGCATGAGTCTTGGGTTCAATTCCTCAGTACCACATAAACAGAAAAAGCTGAAAGTGGCACTGTGGTTCAAGTGGTAGAGTGCTAGTCTTGAGCAAAAGAAGCTAGGGAAAGGGGCTGGGAAGGTGGCTTAGTGGTAGAGCACTTGCCTTGCATGCTCGAGGCCCTGGGTTCGATTCCTCAGCACCACATAAGAAAAAAGCCGGAAGTGGCGCTGTGGCTCAAGTGGTAGAGCACTAGCCTTGAGCTGAAGAGCTGAGGGACAGCACCCAGGCCCAGAGTTCAGGCCCCACGACCAGACCCCCCCCCCAAAAAAAAGAAGTTAGGGAAAATGTTCAACCCCAGGAGTTCAAGCCCCAGGACTGGCAAAAAAAATTGATTAAAAGAAAGGAAGGAAGAAAGAAAGAGGGAAAGAAAGAAAGAAGGAAAGATAGGAAAAGAAAAGATAAAGAACGGCTGAGTGCCAGTGGCTCACAACTATAATCCTAGCTGCTGCAGTTCAAAGCTAGTCTGAGCAGGAAAAGTCTATAAGACTCTTATCTCTTAACTAGCAAAAAGCTAAAAGTGGAGCTATGGCTCAAGTGCCAGAGCGCTAGCTTTGAGCAAAATACAAACCTACCTTGGGGACAGTACCCAGACCTAAGTTCAAGCCTCAGGATGCCCACCCCCCAGACAGAGGGGGGGAGGGAGAGAAGTATAGACAAATAGATGGAGGGAGGAAAGGAAAGGAAGGGAAGGGAGGAAGGAAGGAAGGAAGGAAGGAAGGAAGGGCAAGCCACATTTTCAGTAGGCTAGGAAGCAGCGCAGACAGCACCTTCAGAGCCAGGAATCACTATGGAATGAATATTAAGTAGCATAGAAGCATCCTGCAGGCCTAAGGCCAAGTCTAAGTGGTTAATAGTTATATGTAGCCAGAGCACAAAAAGCCAGCAATACTGTTATTCAAACAACCAAAGCCTTCTCCTTTTGGTAAAAGGATACACCTTAGAAACCTGTTTCCACAGGGAAGTAGCCTCAGTGCTACCAAGTGTACTAAAGCCCAAAGTGGGAATCCCCTCAAAATCTAGTCATGTGTGCAATAGCCCTAAGGCAACAGGTGTGTTTGGGAGCAAAGGAGAGTAGCAAAGTAAAGTATTAGAGACTATGGTCAGGTCCACTTGACTTCAGGGAGGCCAGAACAGGTGCGTGTGGGGGGGGCGGGGGGGGACAGCAGTAAACTGTGAAGGGCCTGGGACCAAGTGCTGATAGCCCAGAAGTAGGATTGTGTTAACAAGAGGAAAACACATGGCCACAACATTTTTTCTGGAAGCAGGATATAGGAAGGAGTCATGGGCAGTCCCAGCGAGCTGGGAGCAGGCCCTAACAATAGCACCCAGTGGACAGCACAGAGAGATATGAGAGAACAAGCTGTGTCTACTGCAGAGCCTCGCTCTCAGTCTTGGTACCAAAGACCTTGTCAATCACAAGGCTTTTTATTCCTGGAACAAAGAACATAGACCATAGGTTTAGGCATGAATGGTGCTGGGTCTGCCACTGAGGAGGATGATGGGCTGGGATGAGCTTGGTGGCATCACACATGTGGCTTGCCAAAAAACTGAGCTCTGGCCCCAGATTCTGAAGGTGTGGAGTGGGTTTTCACCTCTCTTCTTTCTTCTCTTTTTCTCTCTTCTCATCTCTCCTCTCCTCTTTTCACTCCTCTCCCTTCTCCCCTCTCCCCCATCACTTTTTCTCCCTTCTCTTCCCCTTTGCTTTCCTTTCCTCTCCCCTGCCCTCCTTTCCTCTCTTTTGTGCTAATAATGTGGCAAGGATTGACCTCAGGCCTTGTATTTTTGCTCAGCTTTCTTGACCATGGCTGTTGCTTTATCACTTGACCCATAACTCCAGTCTGGCATTTTGCCTGTTAACTAGAGATGGAGTCACAGATTTTTCTGCCCATGATGGTTCTGAACTTTGATCCTCCAGTGCTTGTAAACATGTACTTTGTGAAATGTACAAAGTCCTATGTTCAACCTCTACCTAGTATGATAAAACAACAACAGCATATCAAGGTGTCTGACTTCAGTCTTGGTATAGCTCTTGGTACTAGCTCCAGGCATGTGGGGTTTGTAAATTTTTTATTTTTGTGCCAGTCCTGGGGCTTGAACTCAGGGCCTAGGCCCTATTCCTGGACTATTTCAAGACTAGCACTCTGCCACTTGAGCCACAGCTCCACTTCTGGTTTTCTTGGTGGTTAATAGAGAAGTCTCAGGGATTTCCTGCCCAGGCTGGCTTCGAAATGTGATCTTCAGATCTCTGCCTCCTGAGTAATTAGAATTACAGGCATGAGTCACCAGTGCCAGGTGCATATGGATTTAAATGCATGGGTTTTTGTTTTATGTGTTTGTGCTGGTTCCAGGACCTGAACTCAGGGCCTCGTACTTTTTTTGCCCATAGCTGGTGCTCTACCACTTAAGCCACACCTCCAACCTGATATTTTGCTGGTTGGCAATAGACTCTTGTGGGCTTTTCTGTCTAGGCTGACTTTGAACCAAGATCCTTTAGGTCTCAACCTCCTGAGAAGATAGGATTATGGGTGTTAGTCACCAGTGTTTGGCTTAAGTGTATTCATTTTATACATGATACTAGTTGCCTCAATTGGCTGTTTCTCTGGGGATAAATATGGAAGATGTGGGGGCAGTGGGTCAGAAGTTTCTTAACTATTGATATAGGTTGTGCATGTAGCTCCAAAGGGTAGACATATCCAAAAGGGAACTCCACATCACTGAAAATAGAAAAACTTTACAATCCAAAATAATGTTTGATATTGCCTGCAGGTGCAGGTGTAGGGAGCCTGGCTCAGGGTAAGCCAATGCCCAGGCCTGCCACTTTTGCTCCAAGGCTGGAATTCAGTTCTACTGCCTCCTGCTAAAATAGATGGACCAGTTAAAATGTTTGACTCACTGATACTTGCAGTATGCAATTTATTCTATTTTACTCTGAGGATAAAAAAGGATATACATGTAATTTCAGTCATCATTTGTATAATTTCCATGTGTGAAATTGCAGAAAGCTATGAAGCAGCCTTCCTCTCTGGGAGACAAAGTAGCTCACACTGGATTAGTTACTATCAAAACCCCATCAGCTAGCTCTTATTCACTCTCAAATCAACCAGTCAGAGGCCCCATGCTGAGGAAGGCATGAACTGGCCTTAGGAAAAAATATCATTTCTTGGATTTCTTGCAGAGAAACATTTTTTTTCTTTCTCTCTCTTTTTTTCTTCTTTCTCTCAGACCATAGTACTGACCCAAGGAAAGCCACAACTCAAAGGCTATATTTTGTTCTTGCTTGGACTGTGACATCAGATCTTCTAACTTCTTTTTTTTTTTTCGGGTCCGGTAGTGGGGCCTGAACTCTGGGCCTGGGCGCTGTCCCTCAGCTCTTCAGCTCAAGGCTAGTGTTCTATCACTTGAGCCACAGCGCCACTTCCGGCTTTTTTCTTTTTGCTTATGTGGTGCTGAGGAATCAAACCCAGGACCTCATGCATGCAAGGCAAGCACTCTACCACTGAGCCACCTTCCCAGCCCATCTCCTAACTTCTTAAACAGAAGAAATGAAGCATTCTTGTGAAGGGTAAATAACTCATCTCTCTTTTTGGCCAAATCACCATTAACTATTAATATCTAAGATATAGGTTATAAAAAGCATGTACCTGCAAAGATCAATCACATCCATAGGAATTAATACATAAATAAAAATGAAAAATGCTGATTAGAATAAAATGATGAAAAAAACTGATTTAAAAGGGCTTTTTGGTCTTCATCTTAGAAAGCACTATCCTCCTTTGGGCGGAAGGTGTCAAAGGGCAGTGTTTCATGCGGGCTTCTCACTTCTTGGGTGGCTTTCATTCTGTAGACCCCAAAGCAGGGCTTTTGCACAGCAATGTGTTCCACTTAAGACCCTCCCCAGAGTGGGTCCAAGTACCACAGGTGTCAAGGCATCTCTGAAGTCATGTCATTTTGTCAGTGACTCTGGACACACCCAACTGAGTCCTGAGAAAGTGGATCAGCTTGGTCTCTGTGAGGAATGCTGTCCCAAGAGTCACTCCTAAACAGAAGGCCCCCACAACAATGTGTGTCAGCCTGGCGGGCCAGCCTTGCTCACAACAGAGGAACACCTGGGGAAAGAAATCACAGTCACTGCCAATTCCTCTTGTCTATACCCCCTTTCTTTGGGACAAGCCAGGGAAGCTTCCAAGCTAAATAAGATGTGTCTGCTCTCTTCCCACCAGTGACAATCTTTTGCCATGTCTATCATGAGATGCTACCTCAGAAGCCTGAGGAAGGGTAGGAGGAGGCAAATACTCATCCAATTGTTCAGGTGTTGTGGGAAAGGGAAAACTAGAGGGAAGAACAGTGGGTAGCCCACACAAGAATTTGAGCTGCAGTTAATCTTACCTCTGAAATGCTGGTAATCACAGCACTGAGGGAAAATACCCCAAGAAGTGCGGGTGACACACGCAGGCCAGCCAAGGGCCTGTGGGGACTCTTTTGATAGTAGCGATGGATGAAACGAAGACTCTGTGTGATCCGAATGCCCATATTAAAGCAGTTGGCCAAAATGAAGCCCACACTGCCACACCAGTGGGTCAGGAGATAGGATAACACTAGGAATGAAGAGGACAGTGCCAGCATTGTGAAATTATATCTAGAGAGAGGGAAACAAGTAAACAAGGTCAGTGGGTACTTTGCTCCAAGATAAGACTGTTGCAAAAAAAGTGAGTATGAATTCAACTCCGAGAAAGAACCTGAGTTCCCACAATTTAAGGTTGGTTTTTTTTCGTTTTGGTTTGTTTTTTCCTAGTCCTGAGGACTGAACTCAGAGCCTTATGCATACTACTTATTTACCACCAGGTGCTAGTAGCTCACGACCATAATCGTAGCTATTCAGGATGCTGAGATCTATGGGTCATCATTCAAAGTCAGCCCGGGCAGGAAAATCTGTGAGATTATCTCCAATTAACCACCAAAAAGTCAAAAGTGGAGGTATGAAGCCAAGTGCTAGTGGCTCACACCTATAATCCTAGCAACTCAGGAAGCAGAAATTTGAGGATTACAGTTCAAAGCCAGACCAGACAGTCCTCCATGAGACTCCTAGGATCATCCCTCCTTGGAGACAGAGTCTCTCTGACTTTTCTGCCCAGGCTGATCTAGCACATTTTCCCAATTTCAACCTCCTATGTAGCTTGGTTTGACAGGCATATGCCACTATGCCCTACTATGGACTGAGAAGGATTTTTGCAAACTTTGCTGCCCAGGCTGGCCTCAAACTCAGATCTTCTAATTTCAGCCCCCAGGTAACTTATTACCAGTGCCAGGCTCAGCCCTGAAATTTTTGAGAGAGGTCTTGCTATGCAGCCCATGCTGGCCTTGAATTCATAATCCTTCTGCTCTTGGAAGCCAGTAACTAGGTTTTATGAAAATGTAGGCTTTCATAACATGGAATATTACATAGTTAATGTGGCACTGTTCCCTTCAGCCCTCAAGAGAGGAATAAGAAAACTAACCACTTAAGATATTTACATTTTTAAGGATAATAGTTGATTAGTGACATTTTGTAATCCTGCTTAGTCCCAGTTCCTGACATGAGGTACAAGAATGTAACCTGGGTTACAGTCATATACTGGAAGCCCACTCTGTAAGCAGCACTATGAGGAGAGCTGGAGTCACTCAGAGTAATGGATATACATGACTCTTGTGTTGCAGAGTTTGGGACAAGAAAAGTAGCATAGAGAGGCTGAGGAACCTATCCAGGAAGTAAGCCAACATTTAAACTTGACTCTTGACTCCTAAGCTTCAGCACCTTACATAAGTACGCCAGGAACTTAAGTGGATCTCATTCAAAATAAGTGACCATCCTTCAGAATGAAATATGAACAGTCTGGATCCCCTCTGGTTCTTTCCAGACTCTCAGCCATCCTTCCTCAGCTCTCTACACCTCTAGGGGTCTTTGGATTCTGGAGCTGAATGGTTATACTACTCCTTTCACTTCTGATTCCAAAGCAGCACATCACTTACTCAGCTCAGATTCGCTATAAAGGAAAGAACCAATTCTCAGCCAACATAAAGTAACTACCATGGTCCTCCAAAAGGCTGTGGGATAGCCAGGAATTAAGCTTGCCAGTATGTGGTTTCTGCTTTGCTCATAGCAAGTATTCTCTAACTATATAGTGGTTATGGAATCAAACCTTTTAGGTCCCATGCTGGGTCCACTGGGTTGGGTAGCCTCTGAAGCTACCATCGAGGTTCTACACATGAGGGATAATAAGAAAGCTGGGTTTCCTGAATGCACTTGGGCTGACCAAGGTCAACGTGCTGTGGAAATACAATTTATCAAAGTGCATGGTAAGAATGCCCACCCTCTATTCTATATTCTAACTGGGGAGGTATGATTTTATCCAGAATTCCAGAGGAATTTATTTGCATTTCAATAGAACATCTTTATTAATGAGCACCAGTACAAGAGGACATACCTCCATAAGAAAGGTTTTTCAAGCCTTGTGTCAGTGGTTCAAGTCTATAATACTAGCTATTCAGGAAGCTGAGATCTGAGGATTGCAGTTTGAAATCAGTCCAAGCAGAAAAGTCTGTGAGATTCTTATCTCTAATTAATCATAAAAAATCTGGAAGTGGAGCTGTGGCTCAAGTGGTAGAGTGCTAGCTTTGAGCAAAAAAAGTTCAGGGACAGTTCCCAGGCCCCAAGTTCAAGTTCCAGGACCAGCATAAAAAAAAGGGGGGGGGAAGGAAAGAAAAGAAAAATTAAAAAAGGGACTGGGGGAGTAGCTAAAGGGATGCAGTGACTACCAAGCAAGCAAGCAACTTTGAGTTCGAATCCCAGCACTTCCCAGAAAAATGTGTTTCTTTTGGCTCAATGCAATATGAAAGGAAAGAAGATTAGCTACTGTACATAATTTCATAATTTTCATGATTTGGTTGCCAGATTTTAAAAAAAAATTTAAATGGGTTTACTGTTAACTCACCCCCGCTCTACACTACTGCTGAAGTTACAACAATAAAATTCCCTTCAAAGTGACAAGACTCTTAGCTGGTCATGGTAGTGTACAGTTGCAATTACAGCACAAAGGAGGCTGATACAGGAGGATACAAGTTCAAGGCCAACCTGGGCTACATAGTAAGTTCCAGGCCAATTTCCACTAATTAAAAGATTCTGTATCAAAGCTGGGGGGGCGGGGTGTGGAAGCCAAAATAACTCCTCAATGGTAGACTCCTAGTATAAGCCTGTTCTACTCCATCACAAGTCATGCTTTAAGTTATTTAAATTATACACAGTACACACACATATACACACAAACACACACACACACACACTCCACACACATCACTCAACATGCTTTAAAATGTATGTATGTTTGTATATTGTTTTTTTCTCAGTACTGTAAAGGTTGAATTCAGGGCCTTGAGCATTCTAGGCAGGTACTAAGCCATGCCCCCAGGCATAAATCCTATTTTTTAAGCTATTTACTGGCAGAAGCAGCTTTCAAGAGATAACATGGTATTTTCTATTTTTAAAAAATTAATTTACTTTATTGTTATTATAGAGTGATGTACAAAGGGATTACAATTCCATGAGTCAGGTAATGAGTACGTTTCCTTTCTTACAGTGTCTTCTGTTCCCTCACTCTCTCCCAGTCCCTCCTTCTCATCTTTATCCATGAGTTGTATAGATATTTTCTTTTTTCTTTTAATGTAATTTTATTGTCTTTAGGTACTTGCATAATGGGGTTACAATTGAACATGTCAGTTTATTACAATGTCTCGAGAAAAACATGGTATTTTCTAAGTTAAGCAGACTTTTTCATCCATGGGAAACAAGGATAGGCTCAAAGGAGTTTATTTTTTTTACTTGTTTGGTTTTTTGAATTAAGGCCAATGCAGGCTGGCATGGAAGTCAAGATGCAGGCCAGGCCTTCTAAAATTCCCAATTCTCTTGCCTCAGCCTCCTGCATACTAAAGTTTACATCATGCTCAGTTCAAAGCAGTCCTATAGCTATAAATATAAAAAGTATGTCTACATCACTATTTTTTAAAACTATGAGTACTGCCGGGCGCTGGTGGCTCACGCCTGTAATCCTAGCTACTCAGGAGGCTGAGATCTGAGGATCGCCGTTCAAAGCCAGCCCGAGCAGGAGAGACCGTGAGACTCCTATCTCCAATAAACCACCAGAAAACCGGAAGTGGCGCTGTAGCTCAAGTGGTAGAGCACTCGCCTTGAGCTGAAGAGCTGAGGAACAGCACCCAGGCCCAGAGTTCAAGCCCCACGACTGACAAAAAAAAAAAAAAACAAACTATGAGTACTGGCCTACTAATAGGATGGGACATCAATTCAGTAGACCACAAGGTAGAATTTTTGAAAGTCAAAATACAATAAAAATTATCAATACTGTATCTTCAGTGTACAACTGGTATAGTTTCTGCTTTGTGAATTCTCATTTCTGTATAATGGGTTACAGTGCTGAAGTGAATGTTGACTGTGAAAGCTGCTGTTCTACAGCAGTAGAATCAGAATCACCTTCATCTGGCAATAAATAGATTTCCTGGCTCAAGCTTTCTAAAATGCTAATTTTAGCTTGGCTTGGGGTAGTGGTAGAGAATCAGAACTTTCCAGGAGAATATCATTAGTCCGAGAAGCACTCTGGTTACACCCTAGCTCTCAACTACTATGTGGCTTCTACATGAGGCAGCCCAAGATGGGAAGCTAGGCTGCTCTGAGAAAGGAGAAGGACCCTCTGTCTCTAAAACCAGGCCTCTGAAGGTTCTCAACAGCGCAGACGTTAGAGACACATTACAAAAGTCCCCAAGAGAAGCTTCTTGCCTGCATTGCATCCCGACCAGGCCAGTGTGGCCGAGCAGATGGCTATGTGCTAGAAGGCAAGGAGCTGGAATTCTATCTGAGGAAGATCAAGGCCTGGAAAGGCAAATAAAGTCATCTACCATCCTTAGCTCATGTAATAAAAGTGTTTATTGTTCTAAAAAAAAAAAAAAGTCCCCAAGAACCCAGGCTCAAGGGGAAGATGAATTTTGAGGGCCACTCATCCACCATCTATATTCATCTTCAATTCTATCTTCATTATCATCTTATTTATTTATTTATTATGGAGTTTTGAATGAATACAGTGCCACTCTCAGGCTAGACAAGTGTTTTACCACTTGAGCCTCATCTCTAACATTTTTGTTTATATTTTGTATTATAAGGTCTTGGTAACTTTGTCTGGACTAGCCTTGACCTCTCCATCCTCCTGCCCTCCACCTCTTTCATAGCTGGAATAACAGGCATGCACCACTGTAGCTGACTTTTTTTTCCCCAATTATTTTTATTCTTTTCCTCAACCTCATCCAGTAGTAATGATACTGTATGGTTACTGCTGGCATTTAGAACATAAGATATAGATAATCCTGGGTATGAGCCAAAGGTACTTAGCCAGGAATTCACTTGAGAAGATTTGAGATTTTTCTGAGGGGGTGCTGGTCCAGATGCTTGAACTCAGGGCTTGGGTGCTGTCCTTAAGCTTTTTTTGCTCAAGACTAGCACCCTATCACTTGAGCCACAGTTCCACTGTCAGCTTTTTGATGATTCATTGGAGATAAGAGTCTCATGGTCTTTCCTGCTCCAACTGACTCCAAACTATGATCCTCAGATCTCAGGTAGGATTACAGGTGTGAGCAACATTGCAGTTAAGGAACTTCTTTTTTTTTTTTTTTTTGGTTGGTCCTGGGGGCTGAACTCTGGGCCCAGGCGCTGTCTCTCAGCTCTTCAGCTCAAGGCTAGTACCCTACCACTTGAGCCATAGCACCACTTCCAGCTTTTTTCTGCTTATGTGGTGTTGAGGAATTGAACCCAGTCCTCGTGCATGCGAAGCAAGCACTCTACTACTGAGCCAACTTCCCAGCTCAGTGAAGGAATTTTTTAAAAACACACATGAAGGGTGTGGTGGCTCACACCTGTAATCCTAGCTGCTCAGGAGGCTGAGATCTGAGGACCACTGTTCAAAGTCAGCCTAAGCAGGAAAGGCCATGAGACTATTATCTCCAATAAACCACTCAGAAAATTGGAAGTGGCGCTGTGGCTCAAATGGTAGAGTGCTAGCCTTGAGCTGAAGAGCTGAGAGACAGTGCCCAGGCCCGGAGTTCAAGCCCCACGACTGACAAAAAAAAAAAAAGAAAAACACACACAGCTCAAGGACCTGTTGATTCTACTAGTATAATAGGATAGAATAGTGGAAGTAGAATGGACAAGAATCTTCATTTCTAACAAGTTCCATGGGGATGTTGATCAGAACTAGCGTTAAAAAACACTGGTCAAGTTACCAGGGTAGGGGTCCTGATCTGGGATCAAAAGATGAGAAAAAATTGTGGCAAAAATGTATATGTGCATTTGAGTCTTTCTCTGAGAAGTATCACAGAATCACTGAGATTTCAGACTTACAATCAGTTTCTCAGGACAAGGAATTTGCATTTTGAACAAGCTCTTTGATAATCCCTTAGAGCTAAGGGCTATTCCTAGGAAACTGGGAAAAGAAAGAGGCAGAAGAATGATAGTCTAACTTGTTCTACGCTGACTCTAACACATGGACAAACAGGACACATCAGGGTTGATATTGTTCCCTTTAATAGTGAATCAAATAAAATTTGCTTCCTCCCAGCCTTCCATGGAAGTACTAGCTGAATTGGGGTAAGGCATTAGTGGTCCCAAGAAGGTACATCCTAGTGATTTAATATGGCCTTTGAGAGCCACAGCTAAAGGAATGCTCTGAAAAGTGGAAAGTTACTTTATTTTGGACAAAGGCCATGATTACAAGTGTACCTTCTAGATTACCTACCTGTCAACTTCCTCTTTGCTCATGGCAGCAAATGTGAAACACTCGGTCACTCCATTGATGGCAAGCAGAAGAACATAGACACAATAGCACCGCAGCAAAATGGGTCCTATAAAGAAACAATCCATGCAGAGTCTAAAGTACAAGTAGAAGCACATATGTATCCTCAGTTCGGCCAAGTCACAAAGAACACAAGAACCTGGATCATGGGACCTGCTGGTAGCAAGGGGCAAACTGCATGCCCACTGCAGGATTCCTGGCATTCCTTGGCATTGATTAAAACAATGAGCTAAAAACAAAAATACAGATATAAATGTACAGATTTCTTGCTGAAGAACTAACGGCTCATAGGGCCAGCAAGTGAAATGCCAACTTTTTAAGTTGGCATGCAAAAGATTGCTATGACAGTTTGAGTACTCAGAACTAATTGTGAAGGGAGAGCCTCTCTTGGCAACATCCTGTGGTTGCTTTAGAGGGTGTTTCTTTGTGACTGTTTTCTAATCTCTGCACATCAACTCATTAATGGCTTCCTATTTGCCTTATGAAAATGTACTTCTCACAACACAAACCCCACCACAAATTGCAAACCACTTTATTGGCTGCACAGTAGATTTTTCCTCAAACTTAATAGCCTTTGCTCTAATGTGAAAACCTGGGTCTCCCTGCTACAACTAATTCCAAAAGACTGAGCCTCGTGAGAGTGGTTAAAATATGCCATTGTAAAATGGCAGCAACAAAACCCTTTATATTGAGATGGATAACAGAAAGAATCTTCCAGGTTCCTGTCTAGTGACCTGGACCTGAGGAATTGCTAAACAGAAGGCGAAACACTGCAAGCAGATTGTCAGCTTTCAGTCCTGCACATCTTCAAACTGGTGAAATCTCCAAAGACTAGCAAGTGCTTTGAGATTCGCAGCAACCTAGGAACCACATATTTCAATGTCAGATTCATTCAATACTTTTCTCCTTTAAAAACCAATAATATATTATCACATATACAATTTTATTTGCTGAGATCAATTTTATTCTCTGCAAATGATGCTGGGTTATCCTTCAGAGACTTTCATGCATCAGGTCTTGAGATTGATGTAGCATTTACTATATTCAAATGTGTTTAGGACCAAGCAGAGGCTCATTAGACGCTGGTCCTTCATGCCAGAGGGAACATAGGCAAGTTCTTAGGTCTGACTGAGAAGAAAGCCAATAGTAGGGAGGTTTCATGACAATGTCTTCAGGTGATGTTGGGGAAGTAATTGATGGACTTGGTGCAAGCCCCTGACCACACCCTATATCTATATTAGCTTGTATGAGGGAACAATCCCAAGACCCCGCTACTGACAGTTGCCTTGCACCAATACATTAGTCAATTAAGAGTGCATGTTTTCTTGAATTTCATGGGACACTTCTATTTCTATTTGGAAATTAGATTAAATCCAGCAAAACTCTAGGGCATACCTGTTCCTGAGCTAAGCATGGCCCCTCCATAGATATCCAGAGCCAACTGAGAATAGGCAAAGCCAAAAACAGTGATGGTCAGACCAGTTAGCAGGGCCAACTTTAGCAGGAACTCCAAAACTGTAGCAGCCACAGCAACATCCTCCTGAACCAAGATATAAGAGAAGAAAGTTGAATAAATCATAAAGCTGAAGAACACCCTCATCTCTGGCCTCCTCTCTAAACTATTTTATTGCTCACTTTTTCAACTAAGGGCTTCACTGATTTTTATGAGAATTAGCAAATGACTCTGTAGGTGGAAAAGGGAAAGTTTAGTTTTCATCTCATTTAGGATCTATTATTTCAAATACTGCCCACTTTGATACTTATTCTTAAGTAGGCAGCACATTTTCATCTATACTAATGAGCTTTTGTGCTTCTCTTGAAAACATATCAAAATTCTGATACTGTCAATGTACACTTAGGAAAATAATTTTTTGAGGCGGGGGGGGTCGTGGGGCTTGAATGCTGGGCTTGGGCGCTGTCCCTGTGCTCTTCAGCTCAAAGTGAGTGCTCTACCTCTTGAGCCATAGCGCCACTTCCAGTTTTCTAGTGGTTTATTGGAGATAAGAGTCTCATGGAGTTTCCTGCCCAAGCTGGCTTTGAACCATGATCCTTAGATCTCAGCCTCCTGAACAGCTGGGATTACAGGCGTGAGCCACCAGCGCCTGGCAGAAAAATAATTCTAAATCAGATTGTGAACCAGATTAGCTCATCTTGAGATATTATGCATAAACTATATTTTTCAAAACATCTTCTAAAACATGTAGAAGATAGACATAGTTTGCTTTTAATTCTAAGTGAGACATTTTCAGTAGTTTTAAAAAATAAATTTTTCTATAAGCAAATACTCCTCAAATAAAATCTCTTCTGTACTGACCTGTTAAGAGCACATGGATTCCCAGAATCAGAATGTAGCCCAGGGCATGTCACAGTCTAAAGTTTAATTGGTATGCTGAGCAAAGCCTGGATACCACATTGTTTCTTCACCATGCCCTAAGTTACCCCTGCTCCAACCTCAGCAGTCTTTGGTTCTTGAGAATCTGGGGACAAGAGCGGCTACCTCATTCATATACTTAGGACTATGCCAGAGAAGGCATTTGAGCTACACTGAGGAGAGAAGAGCTTTGACAGGGCTGAGGGTAAGGGCCATAAGTGAGCTGTAAATCCTGCCATCAGTCAGAATGTGATAGAAGGATAAAATCTACAAGAAAATTCCGATGAAAAAGAAGAGAAACTGTCCAGTGCCTATGGCTCACACTTGTAAGCCTAGCTACTCAGGAGACTGAGATCTAAGGATCACGGTTCAAAGCCATCCCAAGCAGGAAAGCCTGTGAGACTCTTATCTCCAATTAACTGCCAAAAAAAAGCTAGAAGTGGAGTTGTGGCTCAATTAGTAGAGCACTAACTTTGCACACAAAAGCTGAGAAACAGCACCCAGGCCCACAATTTAAGTCCCACAACCTGCACCCAAAAGAGAGAAATAGACTGTTCCACATTTCTGTTTGGTTGCCTTGCAGTTATAGAGAAGTGTTTTTTTTTTTTAAATCTTTAAGTAGCTATGCAAAGCAGTTGCCATTTAACAAAGCAGTTTATGAACACAGTGCACCTTGATCAATGCTACAGGAACTTTAAATGAGATATAATGACATGAGAACCAAGATTACCTGCTTCTGAAGTATGGCATCCTTTTCCCTCTCCACTACTTTAGCAAAGAATATATAAAAACTCTCCTCTATTGGCTGGAATATTAACCTGGCCACAAGAGATCCAAGATTATTGACTATGTCATACACTCCTACAAAACAAAAAGAAATAATCACATCAGTTTTTCAATTTTAACTTTCACAGTACTATCATAAAATCATTTTTCTAATTCAATCTTTAATTAAGCGATATTCAAACCTTGAGCTAACTACAGATTTACAAACAGAAGAGGTAATATTGATCCCAGTAACCATTCACCCACTTTCCCTAAATGGAAACATGCTGCAGAAGTATAGTAAAATACCACAACCAGGATACTAACATTGATAGTCACAATAAAAGAAATTCCCATCACTAGTACATGTAAAAAAAACAATGAAAGTCCTCAAAGCAAAGTTGCTTTTTAAAACTTCTATTGCTTTGGCATAATATTAAAAATAAATAAAGAAAAAAGTGTGATCAATCTAGGTATACAAATTTAGGCCAATCTTTGTGACTGTTAAGTTTCCTTTTCTTCTCATCTAGAACACTCCTGTTCCCCACATCCCCCCCCCGCCCCCGCCAAGATCAGCACCAGGGTTCTACTGAAAGCAAAAAAGAGAGCAGATGATGTCAGCAAAAACCTGCTTCTCATGTCACATGAGAGAGAGCAGTTAGTGTGCTGCATATATTTACCAAGACCTACAATTTACAATCTTCAGGATTCATTTTTAAACAATCTTTGCTTCTTATCATCTTTAATTTTTCATTAAATGTATCAAGCTATAGGAAAAATACTAAGAAGTATCTATTAATAGTATTCATGTTTAATAAAAATGCTACAGAATTTCATCTTACCTTGATCACCAAAATTTAATACATTCAAAAATGTCATCACATAACGCTCACCTAAAAACAGAAAAGCAAAATAGCATTTTAAATGCATATTAATTTTTTGTTTCCTTTTCTTTTATCATCTATCAACTTTTCTAGCAGGTAAGTTCTTTCTCTTAGGTTTTTTTGGGGGTTTTTGAAGATAGAGTCTCCCTATATAGCCTCAAACTTAGGATTTTCCTGCCTCAGCTTCCTAAGGGCTTCAGAAGACAAATATTTTCTTTTCTTTTTTTTTTTGGGTCCGGTCGTGGGGCCTGAACTCTGGGCCTGGGCGCTGTCCTTCAGCTCTTCAGCTCAAGACTAGTGCTCTACCACTCGAGCCACAGCACTACTTCCGGCTTTTTTTCTTTTTGCTTAGATGGTGCTGGGGAATCGAACCCAGGGCAAGCGCTCTACCACTGAGCCACCTTCCCAGCCCCAGACAAATACTTTCAAAGGAAGTGTCCAAACCATGTAAGTGAAAAACAAAACAACACAACCTAACAAGCTAAAAACAAAATATGAGAAGCCAGGCACCAGTGGCTCATGCCTATAATCCTAGTTACTCAGGAGGCTGAGATCTGAGGATCTCAGCTGGAAGCCAACTCAGATAGGAAAATTTGTGGGACTCATCTCCAATTAACCACAAAAAGTGGAGTTGTGACTCAAAGTGGTAGAGTGGTACCCTTGAGCAAAAAAGTTTAGGGACAGCACCCAGACCCTGAGTTCAAGACCTAGAACCAGCACAAAAAAGTAAATAGACATGGGGAGATTATGAAAATGTTAGCCATAAAAATGTTTGTCTCAAGGTCCCCCCCACCCCACACCTTTTCTTTTGGTGTCAATACTAGAGCTTCTTATTCCTAGGTTGGGTTTTCACAGCTGGCACTCTTGAGCCACACCTTCAGTTCTACCTTTTTGCTGGCTAAGTGGAGAGAAGAATTTCATGGTTTGTCATGGGCTGCCTCTGAAACTCTATTCTCAGATCTCAGCCTCCTGAGTAGCCATACTGGAGGTGCAGTTAAGTGACAAAATGCCAGGTGTGAGCAAAAAAGCCAAGAGAGTAGGATAAACCAAGCTCAGAGACACAAACAGTACATGTTTTCTCTCATATGCCGAAGATAGATCTAAAATACTGGGACATGATTCACATACAGTGAGACAAAGGAGGATACTCTTAGGAGAAGAATGCAAAGGTACAATGTCTATTGCATCTGATTATAGAAAATAATATTTATAGAATAAACTCCAGGAAATGGAAGCAGGAAGCTTTTTCTTTGTTGTCATTTTTGTTTTTTCTTTTTGTCTTGTTTGTTCATTTATCTGTTTTGTGGAGGATAAGGAGGGACATGGAGGAACAAAATGCACCAGTGATACTCACTAGACACTATGTTGAATATGAACTATATAAACTGTGGGTGAGGATAGGAGAGAAAAATTGGGAGAGAGCAAGGGAAGGGGTGACATTGTCCAAAAAGAAATATACTCTTAGCTGGGCGCCAGTGGCTCATGCCTATAACCCTAGCTACTCAGGAGGCTGAGATCTGAGGATCGAGGTTCAAAGCCAGCCTGGGCAGGAAAGTCCATGAAACTCTTATCTCCAATAAACCACCAGAAAACTAGAAGTGGCACTGTGGCTCAAGTGGTAGAGTGCTTGCTTTGAGCTGAAGAGCTGAAGGACAGTGCCCAGGGCAAGTTCAAGCCCCATGACTGACAAAAAAAAAAGAAAGAAAGAAAGAAAAAAAAATGTACTCTTTTCCTGGCTTATGTAAATGTAACCCTTCTATATATCACCTTTATAATAACAATAAAAAAATTTTAAAAGCCAAGAGAGCAGGAGGTCCTGAGTTCAAGCCCTGGCACCTTCCCCACATACACACAATGCAATCTAGAAATGATTTTAAATATACAGAAGAATGTGCCTAGGTTATATACAAATATTACACACACACACACACACACACACACACACATTTTTGGGAGGAGGAGGTATTTGTACTAGGGCTTGAACTCAGGGCCAGGGCACTGTCTTTAGCTTTTTCACTCAAGGCTGGTGCTCTACCAACTTGAACCACAGCTCTATTTTTGGCTTTTTGTGGTTAACTGGAAATAAGAGTCTCATGGACATTTCTGCCCAAGCTAGCTTCAAATTGCAATCCTCAGATCTCAGTCTCTTGAATAGCTAGGATTACAGATGTAAGCCTCCTACACCTAGCCAACATTACACAGCTAATATTACTGTTCCTTTACGTGAGGGACTTGAGCATTCTTAAGATTCTAATATCTGGATTAGCTCTGGAGCCAATCCCCTGGATTCCAAAGCAAGATAAAAGATTAACTACTGTTAATCTTGCTTTCCGAATACCTTCAAATGGCTCATTAGTGTTTGCAAAAAGTCCTGTCTCCATTATCTGCGTTTGAGGGCTTTTATATACAGCTATCTGTTTGAACTTCCTTCAACAATCTTAACCCTATCATGCTATCATTCTTTGTTATACCCTCCCTACCAGGGTTTGACCTTTCAGCTGCTCTGAGTCAGGCTGGGCCTGCATCCTCACATCTAAAATGACATTTGTGTAGAAGAAAATCTCTATCAAAATAGGCCTTCTCTTCACATCTATAAGCTCCCTGAGGGTAGGAGAGTCCTCTCAATTATTCTGTCCCTCTCAGGTTTCTTAGTAGAGCTCCAGGAAATGAGGGAGGGCCTAAAGGACTTTTGGTGACTGAGCTAACATTTCCAAGTACTATTCCAGGAGTTGGTGGCTCACTCCTGTAATCCTAGCTACTCAGGAGGCTGAGATCTGAGGATCAAGGTTCAAAGCCAGGCCCATCAAAAAAGTCCCTTGAGATTCTTATCTCCAATAAACCATTCAAAAACCAGAAGTAGAGCTGTGGCTCAAGTGGAAGACCACTAGCCTTGAGCACAAAGAGGCTCAGGGACAATGCCCAGGCCCTGAGTTCAAGCCCTATAACCACCACCACCACCACCAACAACAACAACAAAACATTTCCAAGTACAGCCCCATATTTCTGAAGCAGCCACACAATGTCTGTGACTTTGATAACAGAATGAGCTCCTTGAGGCCATGGCTTGTTTTCACCTCTATTTTGGCACTTGTCACACAGCATGCAGGAAATGTGGGGGCAGAAGGAAAGAGCACTGTATTTTTTTGTTACCACAAAGTGATTTCAACTTTTTTCTTTTTGAGCTACAGCTTTTAAAGATATGAAGAATCTGGGAATCCTGGTTAGGCCACTTACTTATTTCCCAGACACTACAAAGTCAGACAACCGGCTAGGAGAGCCAATTGTAGAAAAAGTACCAGCTATGTCTTCAGACTAAGTCCAGGAAGCTCTAGTGTTCTCAAAAACATATGTCTGGCAACTGCAATCCAGACAACTAATTGAGTCCTATTTTGATTGATCTGTTCCTCAACCTTACTAAAACTTCTCTAACACATTAGAGGGAAAGGATGATTCTCTTTTTCCAAAAATATTAACCATCAAATACACAATTTAATTAGTTACCTTCTACTGTTGCTTGTCTTACTCAACAAATATTTGCTGAATGTCTATCCTCTGTCAGGTCTAACAGGGGGACAGTAGACAATGGCATACTCACTGTTTCTGAAGGAACTTATAGCTCTGTACCTTCACTCAGTTCTTCCAATGCTTTTGACCCAAAAGTTCCCTGAGCAGTTTTTTGTTTTTTTTTGGGGGGGGGGTTTGGTCAGTTGTGGGCCTTGAACTCTGGCCCTGGGTGCTGTCCCTCAGCTCTTCAGCTCAAGGCTAGCACTCTACCACTTGAGCCACAGTGCTACTTCTGGTTTTCTGGTGGCTTATTGGAGATAAGAGTCTTACGGACTTTCCTGCCCTGGCTGGCTTTGAACTGCGATCCTCAGATCTCAGCCTCCTGAGTAGCCAGGATTACAGGCATGAGCCACCAGCGCCCAGCAGCAGTTTCATTTTTATACTGGCAAAAGCTCAGGCTAGAAGCATGCACTCTCAAGACTCAGAGAGCTCCTGGATATCTCTTGGTCTCTCCCTCAGCTCATAGGTAGGAAAAATGCGGCACAAGGAGTTACTTCCCTTTGGAGATATAATAAAAATTTTAAATGGGGGAAATAAGATAATAAAGGTGGTTGTATTAGAATGCTAGGATTATAAAAAAAGACAGTTTTCTATTTTCTGAATTTTTTTTGGGGGGGGTCTGGACATGGGGCCTGAACTCTGGGCCTGGGTGCTGTCCCTCAGCTTTTCAGCTCAAGGCTATCACTCTACCACTTGAGCCACAGCGCCACTTCCGGCTTTTTTTTCCTGCTTATGTCGTGCTGAAGAATCGAACCCAGGGCCTCAAGCATGCAAGGCAAGCGCTCTACCACTGAGCCACCTTCCCAGCCCCATTTTTAGAATTTTTATAATGGCATTAAATAACAAGCCAGATATGGTAGTCCATGCCTGTTATCCTAGTAATTGAAAAGCAGAAGCAGAAGGATTGCAAATTTGAGACTAATGATTTCCAGACCATCCTAGGCTATATAATAAGACTCAATTTCAATAAACCAAAACCAACCAACCAAATATAGAAGATGTACTTCCACTCTTTGCTGGTCCTCTAATCCTAGCTATTCAGGAGGCTGAGATCTGAGGACTGCAGGTCATTTGAAGGCAGAACAGACAGGAAAGTCCATGAGACTCTTATTTCCAATTAACCCAAAATGCCAGAAGTGGAGCTGTGGCTCAAGTGGTAGAGAGCAAGAAAGCTCAGGGACAGCAAGGACTCAGGTCCAGAATTTAAGCCCCAGGATTCATAAAAAAAAGTTAGGATGGGATGATATTATGGATAAATCTCTATTTTCCATTTTTTGTAACTAATATAATACTTTTATAATGAATGTATTAAAATTATATACCATGAGGTCTTACAGTTACTTTGCTATAGTTTGGGTCTGAAGTTCAAAGCTAGCCCAGACAGGAAAGTCTGTGAGACTCTTATCTCCAGTTAATCAACAAAAAGCTGGAAGTGGGCTGTGCCTCAAGTAGTAGAGTGGCCTTCAGCAACAAGCTCAGGGATAGCACCCAGGCCCTGAATTTAAACCCCAGGAGTGGCACCAAAGTCAAAGGAACAAAAAAGGATAAGATAATGAGATTATGGGTAAATCTCTATTTTCCTTTTCTGGGGGTAATTGATATAATACTTTTATGATAAATGCACTAAAATTACACACTATAAGGTCTTACAGTAGTATCTTGCTATAAGTTTGGGTCTGAAGTGTTCCCCAAAGGCCAGTGTGTTGAAGGTTTGGTCCCCTGTCCATGGTACTATCAGGAGGTGGTGGAACCTTTAAGAGTTGAGACTTAGTACAAGGAAGTTAGGTCACTGGGTATAACCTGGAAGGGGATACTGGAACGCAAGTTCCTTTCCAGTTTCCCAGATACCATGAGGAGAACATGCCTCTTCAACTATTTGCCTGCACGATGAAAAACTGCTGTCATAGGCCTAAAGCAGCCAGGCCAAGAAACCAGAGACTGAAACTTCTGCCAAAACAATGAATCAAAATAAACATTCCTTCCTTTTAAGTTGATTATCTCAGGTGTTTTGTCATAGCAACAGAAAGCTGACTAATCCAGACTTGGATTCCAATTAAGCTGTTCCTCATTACTGTTGGACCCTGAAGAAACACCCTTATTTCCTTCATCTATACTGAAGGAGGAAAGTACCTTTTCTCTTAAAAACTTTTTATTAGCATAACTTCGTGGTACAAATAGGGGGTCACTGGGACATTTCCATACATGCATACAATGCATCCCATCAATCTTATCCCTTCTATCACTCTCCTTACACTCCAAAGAGGAAAAATATATTTTATAAGGCTGTGGAGCAATTAGACATCTCAAATAAAGCATAAAACTAAACAAATATTGGTTTCTCCCTCCATTTTTTCCCCAAGAGTTCTATGCCAACGGGGCTCCAAACAGGCAGTCTGGATCAAGTTAATCAGAAGTCCTGGGATATGTATTCACTTGTCTTCTGACTGTTCACAGTGACCTTTTACTTACCTTCTGTCAAAATCTGTTTCAAGAAAGATTGTTTGAAAAAACTCCAAGTCAGTTTAGCTTCTTGCCAATTCACAAAAGCCTATACAGAAGAGAAAACAAGAAACAAAGAAACAAAAATTCCAGGCATTTCAAGGCTAAGAATACAATCCTCATGAGAAGCAAAATCATTTGGGTCCTAAACCCCAACTTAGATAGTCCCCACTGAATTTTTACTTAATGCTAGGCATACAGAGGCATCCAAAACTTCTGGGAAATAATTTATTTGGTGTGGTTTTTTTTTTTTTTTGGTCAGTTATGGGGCTTGAACTCAAGAGCCTGGGTACTGCTCCTGAGCTCATTGTTCAAGGCTAATACTCTACCACTTTGAGCCACAGCTCCACTTCTGGGTTTTGAGTGGTTAGAGATAAGAGTCTCACAGGGTCTTTTTCTTCCCTGGCTGGCTTCAAATTGTGATCCTCAGATCTTAGCCTCCTCAGTACTCAGTAGCTAAGTATTAACCACCAGCACCTGGCCTTTTTTTTTTTTTCTTTCTTGTTCAACTTGCTTGCTCAGCTGACACTTCATTTGAGCCATAACTCCAACTTGGCCTTTCCTGAGTATTTTGGAGATGGAGTTAAAAACTTGCCTGCTTGGGTTGACTTTAAACTTTATCCTCCAGATCTCAGCCTTTTGAGTAGCTCAGGTATGAGCCATTAGTGTCTAGCTTAGTTTGGATCTTAAATATCCCCCAAAGGCTATGTGTTGAAAGCTTGGTCCCTTAGTGAAGGGTTACTCAGAGGCAGAACTGTTAAGAAATAGAATCTGATGGGAAGTGTTTAGGTCATTAGGGATGTGCCCTTGAAGGGGACTTTGCCTCTTCTTTCTGTCCTTTCTCAGGCATGAGGTAAACTGTTTGGTTCTGCCATACATTTCTGTATTGCTTGCCACAGGCCCAAGGCATTGATATCAACTGATCATGAATTGAAATTTCCAAAACCATGAGCCAAAATATACCTTTTTCTCTTTATAATCTGATTATCTCAGGTATTTGTTATAGTAACAGAAAGCTTCCACAATTTAATGAACAGTCTTCAGCACCCTTAAGATTGATACATAGAAACCCCTAAAGAACTGCTGTTATCCCTCCTAGAGGGGTTCAGACAGTTCAGTGACCAGATCTAGAACATACAGACCACAGTCAGGTCCTTTCTAGTTACAACAAAAAACACAACCTCTGAAGCTGAAAAACAAATTCTACTATAGGTACATCACATCTTTTTGTTGTTGTTGTTGTTCTTGGGGCTTGAACTTTGGGCCTGGGCACTGTCCCTGAATGCTTCAGCTCAAGGCAAGTGCTCCAGCACTTGAGCCACAGCTCCACTTCCAGTTTTCTGGTGGTTAATTGGAGAAAGGAGTCTCACAGACTTTCCTGCCTGGGCTGTCTCTGAACTGCGATCCTCAGATCTCAGCCTCCTGAATAGCTAGGATTACAGGTGTGAGCCACCAGTGCCCAGCCTGGTATATCACCTCTTAATATTATATTCTACTATCTTTTACACAAAGTATATAAGGTATGCTTGTATAATGCAAAAAGAAACAGCCTCTCCAAGTCAGATAAGTGAATCAGAATTGGTACAACAGAGAGAGGTAAAACCAAAGCTTATGCAGCATTTCTGAAAGTACCAAATGGTACCAAACTGCCTACATCCTAAGTACAAAGTGGATAAGAAAGCAAGCATAAAGGTAGGACAGAGGTTAACCTATAAAAAATGGATGGCCTCAAAACAGAGAGCTGATCACAAAATGGAGGACTATGAAACCTAGCTGATCTCAACCAGTGCCCACTAGGGGCCACTCCTCTATCACAAGGCATTTTGGATCTCAGAAGTACAGTCTAGATGGTAGAGCCTTAATGCTTAGGATGCATGCATTTTGTAAAGAATTGCCTATCTGAAGTAATTTGGGTGTAGGATTTCAAGAGGCTCTTTGGGTGGTGAGAAGTGAACTACAAAAGCCAAGTTCATTTCACCTCTCCAAAAGGCCAGCCTCAGCTATAGAAGAAGGCCCAAGAGCAGCCTTAGAATCTACCCTGGTCACATGGGCCCTTGTCCTGGCCAAAAGCCCATCTGTGTAGAGCAATGTTATCGAGTAGAAATGCAGCATTAAGTTTCTAGCAGCCACAGTAAACAAACAAACAAAAAAAGCAAACATGAAAATAATTTTAATTTTTTTGAGACAAGGTATCACTAAGTAGTTAAGGCTTACCTAGGCCCTGCAGGCCTCAAACTTGCAATCTTCCTGTCTCAGCCTCCAAAGTGCTGGGATTATAGGATATAACTACCCTCAGTTAATTATCTTTTACTGAACCTAAAATATTCTGTCAACATGTAATAAATATGAAAAATTATGAGAAGTGTATTTGAAATCCAATGTGTAACTTGCTCTTAGTTCATCTCAATTCATATCAGCCATGCTCTAAATGTTTTTTTTTTCTGTTGTTGTTGTTGGTTATGGGGCTTGCACTCTGGGCCTGGGTGCTGTCCCTCAGTTCTTCAACTCAAGGCAAGTGCTTTACCACTTGAGCCACAACGCTACTTCCAGTTTTCTTGTGGTTAATTGGAAGTAAGAGTCATACAGGACTTTCTTCCCTGGGTTGGCTTTGAACCTAGATCCTCAGATCTCAGCTTCCTGAGTAGCTAGGATTACAGGCCTTAAGCCACAGTGCCTGACTCTAAATGTTTATATTCACATATAGCTGGTGGCTATCATTCAAGACAGGGCAAGCCTAGAGCATTTCTGAAAACAAGGGTCTTTCAGTCCATATTCTTTATCTCTGGGTTTCCAAAACTTTGACAATGAGAAGACAAGTGTGAGTTGGGCACCAGTGGCTCACGCCTGTAATCCTAGTTACTTGTGATCCTGAGGATCACAGTTCAAAGCCAGCCCAGGCAGGAAAGACTCTTTTTTTTTTCCTTTTTTGTCGGTTATGGGGCTTGAACTCTGGGCTTGAGCACTGTCCCTCAGCTCTTCAGCTCAAGGCACTTGAGCCACAGTGCCACTTCCTGTGAGACTCTTATCACCAATTAACCACCAGAAAACTGGAAGTAGCACTATGGCTCAAGTGGTAGAGAATTCACCTTGAGCTGAAATGCTCAGGGACAGGACCCAGGCCCAGATTTCAAACCCCATAATCGACCAAGAGAAAGAGAGAGAGAAGACAAGCCTGAGTTATCTCAAAATGTACTGCCTACAGGGCATCACTAAACCTGGAGCAGATGTCAGAGCAGTTTTAGCCTTAAATAAATTTTCATTAAGGAAACTGGGACTCAAGATGTTTAAAAACAGAACAAAGAGCACCAGAGAACTTAACACCACTAGGCGGCACTGTAGATCACTCATTCTTTGTCACTGGTTCTGCCCGGCATCTTGCTATCATTTAGGACAGGGCCAGCCTAGAGCACTTCTGAAAACAAGGGTCTTTCTCTCTTACACTACTTCATACCCATACACCAGGGTGGCCCCTGCAGCAGTACCCATTCTGCAAAAAGGAAACAAAAAATTACAGCTTTTTCCAAGAGGCTTTTCTGCATCCTGCTTGCCAGTAGGCTGTGAATAGGTGTGGGCATATGACTAAGCTCTTTAAAGAGCTTGGGGAGAGTGAAAATACACAGTGAATCTAATCTGAAAGCTCATGTTCAAGAATCCTTTCTCCTAATAACTTCAGTGTAAAAGTGTCCATAGTTGAGAAGGAACAGCCATACTGCTTACTATTGCCAAAGTGCTTATTAAAGCCACAGTGGCAGGAAGTCCAATTTGAAACTGGGGTTCTTCTCAAGGGTGTTTGCTACGTTTTAGAAAAGAGGAAGTAATCTCTGTGGACTGTTACCATTTTCTTCACAATGGATTTATCATTTGGGATGGTAAGACCTATTTAAAGCTGAGTTGATACTACTGAGCTTGTCTAAACAGACATGAATTTCTCTGGGACCACTTAACATGATAGTCCACACAGTGTCACTGTGTTGATGGGGAAACTGAAGCTTAGAAGGCAAAAACTTCCGGGTGCCGGCGGTTCACACCTGTAATCCTAGCTACTCAGGAGGCTGAGATCCGAAGATCATGGTTCAAAGCCAACCCTGGCAGGAAAGTCCCTGAGACTCTTATCTCCAATAAACCACTAGAAAACTGGAAGTGGCACTGTGGCTCAAGTGGTAGAGCGCTGGCCTTGAGCTGAAGAGCTGAAGGACCCAAGCCCCATGACTGACAAAAAAAAAAAAAAAAAAAGGCAAAAACTTGGTGAAAGCAATAGCTCAATAGCTATGTCCAGGGGCTGGGAAGGTGGCTCAGTGTTAGAGCGCTTGCCTTGCATGCCTGAGGCCTTGGGTTCAATTCCTCAGCACCACATAAGCAAAAAAGAAAAAGCCAGAAGTGGCGCTGTGGCTCAAGTGGTAGAGCACTAGCCTTGAGCTGAAGAGCTGAGGGACAACGCCCAGGCCCACAGTTCAGGCCCCACGACTGACCAAAAAAAAAAAAAAAAAGAACTCAGATAGCTCATCCTACTTCAACCTGAGTGACTCTTCCACTTCTCACTCTGCACTGACTCACAGTGATCTAATCAATAGCATTCTTCCCATACTGACAAGAGTCACCAGAGAGCCAGAGGCTGTGGTCCTGCCTCTGCCCTCCTACACATGTATCTTTCCTCTCCCCTTCCTCCTCCTGCTCCAGTCACTCCAGACCATTGATTCTATCCTAGTTTATCTATCCTCCCATTTCCATTTTCCCCAATGTTCTGTCTCTTCTCACCAGTACAACTGCCACTGCAGCCTATAGAACTTTTTCATTTATCTCTAGACCATCCTTATTGTAGGTTCAGACTTTAGAGTCAAGCTTGAAGAATGAAGCTCAAATTGTAGTCTTCAAAGATTATGGGCAAGACAGCTAACTTTCTAAGCCTTGGTTTTCTCGTCTGCAAAATGGGATAGTAAGTCTTATCTCATGGAGCTAAAATGAGAACAAATAAGAAAATGAGACCCTACATCTGTAACAGATAGAAAGCTCCATCATATAAGCTGATCATGGTACTATTTAAAATGTTTCATTAGCTAGGTATCAGGGCTCATGCCTATAATCCTAGTTCCTCAGGAGTCTGAGATTTGAGGATTCTGGTTTGAAGCCAGTCCAGGCAGGAAAGTCCACGAGACTCTTATTTCCAATTAACTACCAAAAAGCCAGAAGTGGAGCCACTGCTCCTGAATTAAGCCCAAATTCCACAGAACTGAGGCCACTACTACCTGACCCTAACTTAGGAGACCAAGTTTAGTTACCTTAATACCCTCTGCCCATCTTTTGTTTTCTCTCTGTTCCTATCCAGACAACCTAAGTACCTCAGTAATCTATATATTCTCAATTCTAATATATTGAGGGAGATTATAGTGTGTTTTTGTTTAGTTTTGTTTTGAAACATACACAGTCTTGAACTCAGGAAATCATATTCACTTGGCTCTCTTACTCAACCCTTGCATTCCACCTCTTAAACCATGCCTTCAGCTCAGTTTTTTGCTAGTTAACTAGGATGAAGTCTTGCAGACTTTTTTCCCTGGAATGGCTTCAAACTGTGGCCTTCCAGATTCCCAAATAGTGCAGATTAACGGCATTAGTTACCAGTACCCAGCTAGTACTGTGATGCTTTTTTTTTTTTTTATCATAGACAAAGCAATTTTTTTTCCTTCCTGTCATCACAGATACCACCATACACACATTTTCACTTCTGCTCACCTGTGTGTCAAGGTCCAGCTCAAAAACAACTTGTTGCTGGGTGCTGGTGGCTCACGCCTGTAATCCTAGCTACTCAGGAGGTGAGATCTGAGGATCGAGGTTCAAAGCCAGCCCGGGCAGGAGACACCGTGAGACTCCTAGCTCCAATAAACCACCAGAAAACC